TAATAGGCAAGCTGGTATTACTATTAGTAATTCGTTATGATCACAACTATAAACAAATGCTGAAATTGTAGTGTCACATGCAGTCAATAACTCACCATTGAGAAAAACTTGTCTATACACCACTTAGATCTAACCACGACATATCTACGCTATGTGTACCTAAGGTTAGTGTGTCGGAGTCACATGGGAGCGACACGCAATACTGGCATACTGCGTGTGAATATTGTAAACACGAACATCACATGATTCACCGGCAACGAATTCACGTGACGTATCATCACGTTGCATGAACACGGAATCTTACTAGTATTAATATTAATATTATTTCCAAATCGGTCATATCTCAATTACCAGGTTCACGTAAGCTGTACGTGCTAATAGATGAAAACACATCAAGGTCCGGTTTAGATGTTTTGAGCTATGCGAATACCAATGTTGACATGATGTTGTTTTTGTACAGTTCGAGAATCCGTACTTTCGAGGTTGTGGCTCTATGTAAGCATACCTGGTCCTCGGACAGCCGTTCCTTCGGTCTCTGCCTCGTGCTTTTAACGTTGCAGTTTTGCTCCGTGGTTGAGAAGTTACATTGGGCTTCGGCAGGATCTGGCATCGCGGTTTCATCCCCACGTTTCTCAACCATTTGTCCCACCCTGCCGTCGGCCATGGCGATTTCCTTCACTCATGACTTTTACATGGCGCCATCTAGCGGCGTGAAATACGATAAGGTCGCAAGACGAACGAATACATGTATTCGTTAGTATGCTGGCCACATGGTCCGTGATCAGCTATCGAATTACCCGCTGGTTATAGAACGCGCGAATAAGACGTGTCACTGTACACAGAGAGACTGAGAGTAGGACAAATATCGACATGTGGACGATTATAACGCCTGTGTTAATAAACAATAACATTTGGTTCATCCATGTTTACCTATTCTCTCATGTCCAAGCCATTTTTAAAAAACTATGCGGATATTTTTGTTATATATATATATATATACCACGGGGTGATCATTTGACAATAATTTATTAGAATGAACGACACATATACATATATAAATATATATAAACACATTCCTCCTCTTTATTTCAAATTCAAATATAATAAAACACCCATATATCAGATCATAACATATAATACATCCTACGAAATAACAACAGTGATGTAGACGACTTATGCTGAGAGGGTCTATGTCCCCCAGGGTACTGCCGGAACGTACCCTGGTACTATCTAATATGCCGGACCGTACCTTGGTACTATCTAATATGCTGGACCGTACCTCGCCTACTCCACTAACGAGTCTAGGAAAGTCGCCTACGCCTACTCCCTAACCCTAACCATATCAGATAGTTACTGGAGGGTACGTTCCGGTATACCGGACCGTACCCAGGGTCAAGCGCGTAGCCAGGGGAGGTCCTGGGGGCCCTAGGACGCCCAATCAAAATCAAAATCCAAAAAAAAATTTAAAATTTCACACACAAAAAATTCACACAGCATGGTCGGGTTAGGCGTCGTTGTAGAGCTGCAGAAGAAATAGTATTGTCAACAACACCGCGTCTAAATTGATTTTAAAGCACTATGATTCTATTTTGTTGAAGATAGATAATAAGATTGATTGGTACAATGTAAAAGTAAACTCGCGCAAAAGTGAGATCATGATAAGTTGATAACCATCACAATTAATGTTATAGTGTCAGATCATATAACTTGGAATCAAACTAATATTCCTGGAATGGTATATTATGGATACTTCATATTCTCTACTCGGAACTAACACGCACCTCTGTTGTTGAAGATTATGAGAATACAGCTATGAACACGACCGTCAAGTATTTCATCAAAATTGTAATAAACTCTTACACACGTTCAAGGAAGTAACAAATAAACACTATACTGACCACACACAGCACACTGTTTCTCTCTGATGACAGAGCTTTGCTCAGTTCTATCTCGTTTTTATATTTATACTGTCATGATATATTAATTTTTTTACTAAAATAGTATAAAAGCACATAAAATAAATGGGAAATAATAATGTAAAAAGAAAATGCTTTCAAACGACTAAATGCTGAATATATATAACACCTGGAAATGCAAAGCAAGCATGTTATTTCTAGTTACATATATGTAGCATGGGAGATCAGATATCTTTGATCAACAACTCCTAAATTGGTATTTCATTACCAATTGCTCCTTAGGATCATATCATGATAGTTTTTGATTATTTATTATTCAAGCAAATCATGTACGTAAATAAATATTTTATTCAATGCCACTCTGTTTTAAACGAATGGTTTTTTTAAATCCACTAGAAGAGCTGGATTGGTGGGGAAAGGTTTTACTTCCCACAGATTTCACAGAATTTTTGCACAAGCTGAACAACCGGTTACCTTCACGATAGTCCTTATATCACAAAGTAGCATCACAGAAGCAGATTTCGGGCTAAATGTACTAATTCAGCATCAAGCCATTATTTAGGCAGTTCAGAACTCATGCACCTACCACCCGTATCTATGCCAAGCACACAACTACTCAAGTTAGCAGAAATTATTTCGTAAGAAATTGGCACACCGTAAGCTAGGCAAAAGACAATAACCTTTCACGTGGCTTCAACAAAATTTCTGCACGGCAACATCAGCTGCTGCCATCTGGTGTATAACCACATCAACTTATGACGGCATAAACACACAAGGTAAGCACTGATGTGCATCCTAGTCCGCAACACAACTGAAGCTGTCCATAAACAAAAGAAATTCTAGCGCTCTAACTAGCGTGATGTTTCGCGTACACGCTAAATCAAAAGCACAGACACACAGCACGTGCCATCGGCAACATCAACATTGCAAAAATTAAAAAAATTGCAAAAAGTCATCGAACTCTGCACGCGTCGACTCGAAATCCGCACACTCGTTAATCGATCTATGCACGAAGCGCGACGTCCCGCGGCCCCACGACGAGGCTCACAGGTGGCGCTACCGTAGCGCAGCGTCAGCAGCGATCGCATCACAGTTTTGACGCGGGTCCGGCGGCGGCGGCGCCGAGCAAGTTTCCAGAACCGAAGATGTTCTGGGGATCCAGGTGTTGCTTGACAGCCCTCAGCAGACCTAGTCCGGGGCCGGAGACCGTCTGCGCTAGCCACCTCTGCCTCAGCTTGCCGACTGAAACAACGACAGTTACCATGCGACACATGTGGTGTAGCATTATGTACCCATAATAAGAACCACTTGCTATACTACTTGGTTGTCATACTCACATACGATACAATACGATCCTCTTATACGATACAATACGATTCTCTGATATGATACAATACGATCCTCTTATACGATACAATACGATCCTCTAATACAATACAATACGATCCTCTTATACGATACAATACAATCCTCTTATACGATACAATACGATCCTCTTATACGATACAATACGATTCTCTGATATGATACAATACGATCCTCTTATACGATACAATACGATCCTCTAATACAATACAATACGATCCTCTTATACGATACAATACAATCCTCTTATACGATACAATACGATCCTCCTCTTATACGATACAATACGATCCTCTTATACGATACAATATGATCGTCTTAGGCGTATTGATATGATGTCAACGATATGAACTATATCCCCTTCTGTTGGATGCCATTGTGATAAGCACGTTGTTATACCTTGCTCGAAGTAATAAAAGTTCGGATTACTATTTAAATACCGACGCGCGGCGAAATATCTAAATATGGCCCGCGACAAACGCTGCAATACTTGTACTGCAAAGATTGATGCGTGGCGCCACCGGGTGGCTGGTATGCTAATCTAATGTTTACGTTGGCACGCTGGTCGGACTGTGGAGACTCTTTGAATTCGAGAACGATTATCGTGCATCTACGTACTGCTAAGTAGTAAGATAACTTTAGCGAGAGATAATTTTTCTTGTGGCCATAATCACAAAGTCGAGGATCTTGAAAAGTGTTGAAGGAAGAGGATTTGACGTAGTGTATTCACAGACATGCTCACCAGCTCACGTACTAACTTACCGCCATGATGATGGGAAATGCTGCCTCCACAAGCCAAAATCTCGTCTCTTGCAGCAGTCTGAAAAACGAGCAGCGCTGGTTAAAACTAACCGAAGCTTCCACCTTGACCATGTTGACAGAATTACCAAAATAAAATAAAAAACCGAAATATCATCGTTATGCAAACGTCTTGGGTTAAAGGCAATCTCATCTTACTCTCGAAAATTTTGCGGTTTCGCAAAGATTTTATTACGTAGAATCTCGACATACCTCTATCTCCTCATAGACGCTTACTGGATTAGCGAGGCCACGAATGCAGAAAGCAAAGTAGAAGTAAACACAAGCACCTGCATCGTACAGCTGCGTAACTCTGAAAGGAAAATGCACGTTTTGCTTGTCGGTTGCAGGGATTTAGGCAGGGCATGACTACACCTATAGACATTACCACAACTTTATCTTATACATCAAGATTCTTCTCTTACATAATTTTCCTGTGTACCCCCTCGCTCTCCCTATCCCTCCCTCGCGCACCCACTATCCTTCTCACTCTTTCCCTCATCCGTCTCATGATTATTTTCATCGTTCCCTACTTCTTCACCTCTCTTCCTCCTCTCAACGGTTATCTCACACTACCTGCACGAAGCGAAAGGTGGATGTGGAATGCCCCTAGCCTTGCATTCCCTGTGCAGTCTGTCCTTGACATTACGACAGAGGTCAACGACCCTGTCCCATGGAACGCTCGTCTCAAACGACTCCGAGATCACGCCGTAGTGAAAGCCGAGATCCTGAAAAAAAACACACCAATTTAAACAACTTTTACGCCACTCTCCCGGAAATACGATTATGAAAACGGGGCTTACGATGAAAAATAAATGTGCAAGTATATATCGCGTAGGCCTTACCCTTATGTAGGCGATGAGAAAGGTCAAGTCATAGCCTCTCTGCCCATTTTCCTCGCCTGCTGGCAGTCCCCTGAAAAAGAACAGTTGCGAGTCGAGAATTAAAAACATTTTGCATAAAGTGTAATAAAGTGCAATAAAGCATAAAAAACACAAGTGTGTTGCATAAAATAGATTCACCACATACCCATGTCCACAATATGGTATGTAAACACACTAGTAATTGTAAGATAAGGTAAGGTACCAAGGTAGATAGAAGGCGATTGGCCACAAAAATCTTTATGGGGTAGTTGTTAAAAGGTTTTAATTAACTGTAACGTCTCCATCGTGTACACTGAGAAACTGTGGTTCACACCTTTTGTTTCACAATTTTAACAATTTCAAATTACAGCACTTCATATTATTCAGGTATATGACGTTTGCAATTATCAATGATATAATTGAACTCAATGACTCCATGATGTGCAGGATGTATGATTTACATCTTGTCATGTCAATGAATATATGTGATATATATATACAACACCCGATGACATAAATCATGAATCCACATTAATCCACTCACCCAAACATAGAAGCAATTTCATACACTTTTTTCTCTTGCACTTCCACATCCTAAAAATTAAAAGAAAGGGACATTGAACCCCTCAAGAGATATGCCCACTGAACCAGTTGTTTACGACTGAAGAAAGAACGAATAGAACGAATAAACGATAGAAGATTCCGTGAAACAATTCACCCACCTTGTGGGTTCCCTCGAACAGTAGCGTTGCGACGCACATTTGTTTCGGATCGAAGCCTTTCCACTTCGTTAAGTAGATCTTTTTTATGCCGTCAACAAACGACTGTATAATCGAGTTCACCTCTGGTTTGAGAGCTTGTCCTGAAGAGAAATCCGCAACATTAGACATTGCTACACTAGCGGTGAATTTGGTTGCACTATTACTCCGTTACACCTACACTATCAGACTACCATATTCATGATTTACATTTTTAATCGCACATCAGATAAAGAATTAGCAATTTGTAACATGTATTCGTAATACATTTTATTCTTACTCAGTTTCATCTAGAGTGATACTACTATATACCTCATATTAGGCTACATGTTTGCAATTTAAAAAGTTTATGAATTTAAAAGTTTTTAATCGCACATCAGATAAAGAATCAGCAATTAATAACACTAACACACATTCAGACGACATCGGCCAGAGCGCAAAAAATACCTCGTTATAATCATCAAATTCACGTATAGAGAGACTAAACGCAGCATCCACGATCGCACTCACCGAAGATGAACTGTTCGTTGTCGACGAGGCGGATGGAGGCGGGTGCGCAGCGTTGCCTGGCAACCTCCCTCAGGCAGGCCACGCCCGTCTCGAAGCCGGAGAACACCACTGAGCCATACTTCTGACACGGAGGCCGTGGTCGCACCTTCATAATCACCTCCGTCACGACTCCTGTCATCGTGAGGTGGCAGCGGGAGAGGTGATATTAGAGACGGCGAGGGGAAGAGGTATGTACGCTGTCACACTTGTATCTGTATGCCTGTAGCATGCAGGAATACAGACACAAGCACACGGGTACGCGCCCACTAATGTCTGTATGCACGCACGCACGCACGCACGCACGCACGAACGCACGCACGCACGCATGAACGCACACACGCTCGCACGCACGCACACACGAACGCACGCACGCACGCACGAACGCACGCACGCATGCACACAAACATACATGCACACGTACATAAGCACACGCACACACGCACACACGCACTCACGCACGCACGCACGCACACAAACAAACATACACACACACACACACGCACGCACACTCACCGAGAGTCCCCTCAGAGCCGAGAAGCACGTGGTGCAGGTCTGGTCCGCTGCTGATGCGCGGTACCTGACATCCCTTCTCCAGCACGCCTCGCGGGGTCACCGCCCGCAGATGCACCACCTACGCAGACACACACACACACACGAGAGATGAGCGATCAGACTACAGTTAACACGCTATATATGTTAGCTGTATGTAGTAGTAGTAGTAGTAGTAGTAGTAGCAGTTGTTCACGTATTTGCATGAGCACATGCGTTCGTGCACGTGTGGCATCCACATATGCACACACGCATGCGTGTACACACACACGCACGCACGTCGCACGCACGCATGTACACACACACACACACACGCATGCACGCATGTACACACACACACACACGCATGTACACACACACGCACGCACACACGCACGCATGTACACACACACGCACGCATGTACACACACACACACATGTACACACACACAAACGCACGCACGCGTGTCCACACACACGCACGCACGTACAAACACATGCATGCATGCTCAAACGCATGCACACACGCACGCACGCATGCACACACGCATGCACACACGTACGCACACACACACATACAAGCACGCACACACACACACATACACGCACACACACACATACACGTCAGCAGTAGCAGCACATGATTACCAGGTCTTCGATGTTTCCGTAGACGTTCTTCTTCATTCCGGACGCCCGCGTCGCCACCCAGCCACCGAGAGAGCTGAACTCAAAGGAATCTGGCTCATGACCCGTGCAGTAGCCCTTCTCTTCCAGCTGTAAATTACACGATGTACGTATATATATATATATATATATATAACACGTAATCTGAGAAGTGTGGCGCACTGCTAGCAATCAATGGTGGAATCATCCTCTTACAACCAAACTTACAATTTTGGAATTTTGAAATACCACAAACTGGAAGTCCAGCGAATACATGAAAGTAGTTTGTACCAGATAGCAGCCATTTGTATATGAAGGTAGGAATGAGTTTTAATGAAAGTTCTCATTGTGATAGATCTGCACCCTCTTCAATGTGCTTTAAAGAAGAAGATGATACATATAGGTAGTAGGGCTGTAACGATCCACCGAAATCGAATCGGATCGCGATTCTCTTCCCTCGATCCGATCCTCGATATTTTTCCCCGTATTTTCGGTTCCACTTCGATACCACTTTTTTCCTCCAATAGATGGCGGCACTACGCTATATACTGTGGAGTGTTACTCACCAATGTTACTCAGCGTCTGTGCAGTGTATATATACTCTCTAGACTCTCTAGTCTATTCACCATTTAGTATTCATTGGCAATTTCTAATAATTTATTATTGCAAAATAATAAAAATATAAAAAATAAGATAACATTTCAATATTTTGGGGAAGGAATCGAATCGAGAGGCTAATATCGAGAACCGGATCGAATCGAGAGGCTTGTGTATCGTTACAGCCCTAATAGGTAGTGATAGCAGCATACCACTGCTGCTACAGTACGGCCACTACTAATCTTACCTTTCGTTCCAAATCTTGACCGATTACTCCAGCCTCTATGCACGCCGTTAGATTTTTCTCGTCCAACCATAGAATTCTGCTCTGCAGACACAAATAAACCAGTTTGTGAAGTCTCATCAATTGTGCATTACACCAAATAAGACAATTTACATTTTGTATTATAATAATTTTCTACAATAATCTTAAAATGTACCTTTCCTGCCTTTTCTCAATATTACTTGTGAATTAAACACCGAAAACATATTGCCATTACATCTGCAAACACATGTTTACAGATCAAATTCATCTAAATATTTTATATTCAGAGTTTTTTCATTACTGTGAATTATTTTAATGTGAATCAAAAATCAATGAATCAATGTTATGTTTTTCCTAACAGGTTACTGTCTGCATACCTATCTTGATTAATCTTTACTCAACCGTGTTGATTCAAAACGTACTGCTGACGTTTCGCCTCCGATCAGGATGCTTTCTCAAAGCTGACTGAAGTTATCAGTTTTGTCAGTCAATTCAGTCAGCTTTTAGAAAGCCTCCTGATAAGAGGCGAAACGTCAGAAGTACGTTTTGAATTAACACGGTTGAGTAAAAATTTACCAAGATAGATCTGTTATCTACCAACCGAATGAACTTATTTAATGTGTCTGCATACCATCTGTGATGTATCTAGTGACACGATCATTCTGCTCTCAGTTGCAGGACATTCAACGGCTTGTGTGACGCTCGTACCACCTGTAAAATCAACAAACTTATCCTTTATACGATTATTTTATTTCTTAAAACTCAACCATTCATTTTATTTTTCACTACGACTCATTATACTAAATATGATATCCATACGGAAATTCCTTCAACCGATGACTACCAATGGTGCTATGTAAGTCTTCACTTTATGAGGAATATGAAGGTTAAAAACTGGGTAATGTAGGTATGTTAATAATGTGGAAAGTACTCAGTAGGCATAAACATGTATGATACTGCTATATACACACACTCTTACCTCCAAACGGAATGATGACAACATTGTGTTTACAAGCTAGGTCCACCACTTTTACGACTTCATCGTGGCATACTAACAATAAAATAAAAACAGTTACATTGCAGTTGATTACCTGAACAATGCTTCACGAATTACGAGATAATTTCGATAGATCACATGATAACACTATAGTCAAACAGTGTTGGGAGAATCACTGTATATAGTAGGTTAACAACAACGTGCATATTTCATCTTTGAGCACATCATTGGCTCATGTGTCAACTCTAGATTGACACTCACCTGGCCACACAACGAGGTCTGGAATTCTGTCAAAGTTTCCTTCCCTGAGCGCAAACACCTCATGCAAGGTGTGTCCATGTGCGCGAAATAGCCTGTCCTGACAGTCAACAGAATGATCAACACCTGAAAAGACCATAGCACAAAACATCACATACACACACATGTGTATGAATGAGGACCAGGGTAATCCAAACAAACCAGAGTAACATAATTGTTAGACAGCTATATATGCTCTCTAGTACCATCCTTACTACTTCTTTACTACTATACCTATGATGCTAACTAACTTAGTCTAACTATACCATCATGAGCATAACTAAGAAATATGATGAAACTGTGAAATTACAAAAAAGGTAATTTTATTCGCATTCAGGTTTTATCCCCCATCAGTCCTCCCCAATTCATTCGTGTTCCTTAACCGAAACGTCGATAGTTGTACTCGAACTATAGCATGTTACCATGTAGTGTTATCTTTCATTTTGCACACAAATGATTCATGGTGTCTAGTAATTGGGATAATTAGCATAATTAGAGGAACTTAATCACTCCAGATTACTTACCAGATGTCACCAGCTCTTCCAAGAAGACTTGATTAATCACTGGACTAGGTAGCTCAGCAGCAGTTAGTCCCGGCTAACAACGAAATTGGAATGATTGCGTTAGATCGCTCATCCTGATGCAGATCTATACTATAGATCTGTCGGACAGCAGGGGTAGAAATAAGGACAATATGCAAGTTAGCCCGAAGGGCTAGTAAGGTAAGGTTTGTACTAGCCCTTCTAGTTTTCAACTAGCCCTTAAAAGCATGATGTTGATAGTGGTTGCACGGGAAAATTGTTGATCTCAC